GCCCCACTGGTGGACCTCCTGATGGCACTGGTATTTCTGGCCACTGTGTGAGACAGAGTGTTGGACTGGATGGGCCTTTGGCCTGATCCAACATTGGGGTCTCTTATGTTCTTATGTTCTTATGCATTTTGATGCAATAATTCAGAGCAAGAGGTGTCAGTTATCAGACACTGCTAAATAAACACAATATTGCAAGAGTGCTAATGTTTTAGGCATCTTTTTATCTTAAGTTAAAAAAACCCCACCTTTTGTGCTTGTGTCCTTTAGAAAGTTTATATCTCCGCTACCTGGCATTATGTTTTATGACACACATGGCCCGGCCCAACAAGGTCTTATTTATGTCAGATCCGGCCCTTGTAACAAATGAGTTCGACACCCCTGCCCTACACTGTCTCTGTGGTCATAAATGCGATCTTGAAAACAGGTCAGATCATAAATCTTGAAAACAGATCATAAATGCGATCTTGAAAACAGATTGTTTATTCCTTGGATAAACCTTTGTTGATCTTAAAGGTGCCCCTGGGCTCTGAATTTGTTGCAAATGCGATTAGTTAGTTTGACGAAAGGCGAAAATCGGAATACCAAAAGATGAGGAAGCGAGGGTTTGACAGATGTCTCCCCATGTCTTCTCCTCCAGACGTCATCCAGGCGAAACGCTTGCGTGCCACGGAAATCTCTTCGAGCAGCTTCCGTCTCGTCTGGCCCCAGCTTCTCACTCGGGGCACCGGCTACTATGTGCTGGAGTATGCCCCCACTGGAGAGCCCAGGCGGAAACTAACCAAACAGCTGACCGGCGACCATACCACCATCCTGGTGGTCGGCCTCGTGCCCCAAACCACCTACGAGGTCGCCCTCGTCCCCGAGTCCAATGAGAGGTACATCCCGCCTCAGACGACGAGAGTCACCACTTTGGAAGGTAAGTGCGACCCGAGAAAATGTATGTTTTGGCGAGACCGATGCCGAGATGCAAACTGGATAGGCACACAGCCAGAGTGGCGTAGTGGACTGAGTGGGGGACTAGGACCCTGGCTGACCTGGGTTCGAATCCCCGCTTCTACCATGGAAGCTCACTGGGCGAGCTTGTTAGGCCTGTCAGAAATTCTCATCCTGGCCTACCTCACAGGGCTCTTGTGGTGGGAAAATGGAGGAAAGGAGAAGAACGTTCTAAAAATAAAAATCAACTATCGCATGGTATTGGGCATAGTACAGCCAGGAGATCCTAAGATTGTCTGGCGGCCAGCAGTTCTAGCTCTTTTAGCGTTATGCACCACTGGGTGGCGAGCTAGACTTGTTTTTTTAAGGCAAGAGACGTTTCAGAGGTGGTTTGCCACTGCCAGGCTCTGCGTCACGCCCCTGGTATTCCTTGGAGGTCACCCTTCCGAGGACTAGCCACGACCGTTCCTGCCTAGCTTCTGAGATCTGACGAAATCAGGCAGGTCAGGGCAGAGCGACACTCTAAGCTGCTTCGAGTCCCAGCTGGGGAGAAAGCAGGCTATAAATACAATAATCCAAATGCGATTTCAGTTCTCTCCCCATAGTCCCTGTAGAGAGATGCAGGTGGGCAGCCCATGTTGGTCTGAAGCAACAGAACAAAGTCTGAGTCCACCTTGAAGACCAACCGAGTTTAATTCTGGGCAGGGGTCATTTCACAGAAAAAGAGGCGCAGGAGCTCATTAGCATAACTCATTAGCATAACTTATTTGCATATGCCACACCCCCTGACATCATTAGAAGTGCGTCAGAAGGCAACAACCACCGCTCAGGATCCACTGGACTGTTTTGGGTTGCTAGCTATGGGGGGGGGGATGGACGCACAGATCTGTCCTCGCAGAGTAGGGAGAGCTTGTACCTGAATAAACCTTGGCCTTAAAGGTGCCACTGGACTGTTTTGGATTGCTAGCTATGGGGGGGGGGGGAATGCG